TGAGAAACTATGGTACACAATGGAATACTGTGCAGCACTCAGGAGTAATGATTTTGAAAAATACTGCATAACTTGAGAGAGACTGGAGAGCATTATGCTGAGTGAACTTAGTCTTCTTGTTGCTGATTGTCATCTAGTTGAGCATGACTCATAGAAACCCTATAACAAAGGGCCTGAAGCCTTTCTACAACTATCGACACTTATCAAAGATCTTAGAGTTTCCAGAGGCACGTAACTCAGTCTTTTAAGGACAAATACTGCTTAAGACTATTACTGTAAAAATAGAAGGATAACTAGTAAAACATGTGTGGGGACCCAAAAGGAGAAAGGGTGAGAACAGAGAGGTGAGAATGGGTAGCAACAAAACCACAGATTTACACATTTTGGTAGGTGGGGGTAGGGGGTAAAGGAAATGGGAAGGATTTGGCAGCAACTTGAAAAAGACAGAGTAATAATGGGAAAGTTCCAATGGTGACTAATTTTAGAAAACATAGTGCATGAAAATGAGTGTATGAAACACAACGCGATTTTTTTTAAAAAAGTGTAATACACTATGTATACAAACTTTGTAAGCAAACCAATATAAAAAATTAAAATTAATAACCAAAAGAACACAACATCCGCATTGAAAAAGCAAAAACCAATCTGTGTTATGCAGACAACACAACTGTGGTATGTTGAAACTGAAGAAGATTCAAAGCACTTATTGATAAAGATCAGTATAGATTACATCTCAAAGAAGACAAAAATCTTCATAAGTAGACCAATAAAAACCATCATAAACAGAAAATACTGAAGTCAATGATTTAACTTTACCTAAATCCACAATCAAATTCCATGGAGGCAGAAGTCAAGAAATCAAACAACACATTGCACTGGGTAAATCTCCTGGAAAGTATCTCTTTGAAGTATTAAAAAACAAAAATGTTACTTTGAGAACTACAGTGCCCTTAAACCAAGTCACAGCATTTTCAATTGCTTCATGTGATGGGAAAGTTGGACGATGAATAAAGAATCAATGCATTTGAATTATGTTTGTGAAGACTATTGAACATATTGTGTACTGCCAAAAGAACAAACAAATCTGGCTTGGAAGAAATTCAGCTAGAGTGCTCCTTAGAAGCGAGGATGGAAATGCTTAATCTCTTGTACTTTGGCTATATCTCATCAGGGAGGACCAGTCTCTAAGCAAGGACATCAGCTTGACAAAGTAAAGGGGGGGGGGGGTAAGTGAAAAGGGAAGACTTCCTGAAACAATTCACTTACTGGCTGAGTTCAAGCATTAACAGCGAGGGTGGTACAACTCCAGGCAGCATTTCATTCTGATGTACATGCTGCTACAAGTTGGAATTGACTCAATGGCTTCTAACAACAATATTCCCAAACTCTGGTGGCCTAGTTCATAGCAAATTTCATTTCTAACTCAAAGGTTGTGCCTCTGGTGATTCAAACCCACCGGAGTCTCCTTGGGAGAAAGGTGGGCAATTTCCTTTTGTACAATATACAGCCTCCAGCCTAGGAAACCCAGGGGAGGGTCACCTATGAGTCAGTTCCTACTCAAGGGCAATGTGTTGACTGTTTTGTTTTGTTTTTTTAAAGGAGCATTTAGTACTTATTAAGTCTTATTCTTCATTTTTATACTTAAATAAAGTTCTTCTCCAAATTAGTCCTCTATTTCCTACCATTATTCAAAATCAAACTACATTTCAATTATAAAACACTTTCTCTTATAGGAACTTTTCATATTAGCCCCGTTAGTTGGCTATTAGTCTCAAACAAAACATACCAATGTAAACTCCCTGTCAATCCTGAAGTCATTATCCTCTTCAACAATGTCTTTTTAAAACTTTCTTCTTTTGGAATTTGCCTTCATACTGATCACTTTGGGTATCTATCTATGACCTTTTTTATTATCGATCACTCAGTTCTCAGAGAGCTAAGAAGTTTAGTTCCTTTATTTCCACTGCTATGTTCTTGTTTTTAGGTGCTATCAAGCCTACTATGACTCTATGAACAACGAACCTGTGAACAACAGATCTGAACCTTGCCCTATCCCGCACCATAGTCATTATCCCCACCATCCGCCTACTCATCCACTGAGAGTCTTCTCATTTGCTGACATTCTCTACTTTTGTCAGTAGGTCTTTTTCCAAGAACTGGATCCTTCTGACAACACACCTAAAATATGTGAGACAAAGTTTCACTACCTTTGCCTCTAAGGAACACTCTGGTTGCCCTTCTTTCAAGATAGATTTGTTTCTTCTTTTGGTATTCCTTGGTATATTTAGTACTTTTGCCAACACCACAATTCAAAAGCATTTCTTGTTCTTTGGTCTTCTTTATTCATTGTCTAACTTTCAGATGCATATGAAACAACTGAAAATGCAAGTGCACTTTTTCCTTTAAGATCTTGTCTTTGTTCTTGCACTTTAAAGAGGTCCTTGACAGCAGAGTTCCCCAATGTAACACATTGCTCAGTTTCTAAACTGCTACTACCATAGATGTGACTATGGAATCCCTGATTTCAATCTTTTCTCCATCCATCATGTTTCCTATTGATTTAATGGTGAGAATTTTTATTTTCTTCATGTTGGCTTGTAGCCTATATTGAAGGTTGTGGTCTTTGATCTTCTTCAGTAAGTGTTTCAAGTCTTCCTTACTTTCTGTAAGCAAAGCTGTGTTATCTGCATTTCACAGGTTGTTCAAGAGTCTTCTTTCAATCCTAATGACACTTTCTTTTTTCTGGCTTCTGAAATTATTTGCTCAGCATACATTTTGGATAGGCATAGAGAAAGGATACAACCCTAAGGCATACCTTTCTTAATTTTAAACCATCATTATACTTTCCCCATTATTATACGTAAAGATAGGGCCATCAAGTAGATAAACTGGAAGGATGGGTCTATCAAATAGATAAACTCATTTTATGAGTCAAGAAGCCATTTTCATTATTTTTTTTACATTTTTCCATTATTACACTTCAATTCCTGACTTACTTAACAAGTTTCTCAAAATGTGAGTGGTAATGTTTATAATTCTGCTATTCCTTCATTTCTCCAAAGCACTTTTTATAGTCAAGTCACAATCATTACTCAGCCATGATTGCTTGCTCTTTTCCTGCAACTGTAGTTATATGTTTCATTTCATTTGATGTATATAGGCAATAAATACAGTAACAAATAATATGAAATTATTATTTCACTCTCTGGTGAAGGCTGACTTTCTTAAATTTAGTTCCATACATACTGTTGGACATCAATTATTTGTGTCAAGAAACACAAACAGAGTAGATGGTGATTAAAAACAATGTATCTGTGTCTATGCAAATAGTCATAGGAAAAGGTGAGTCAGGGAGTGAAATGTTATCTGCTCAGCAGATCTGACTCTTCTAGGTGAAAAGGAAATGACATGTCCAATGGAGAAAGAACTGACAATTGGTATTAGCTCACCAACCTGGCTTAAGCCACCTCTTCTGAAGCTATTTTGTCTGTGTCATAGCTCAGCATAACCTAATTTTCACAAATGATTTTTAGAAAAGAAGACTTCCAGATGGATATCCATTGCCAGTTTTAAATGGAAATATTCCTACTGGCTACCAGCCCCATCTTCTAATCAATCAGCACTTCCTGTCATGTATGTTAGAGAGTGGAATGTTGGCAGCTGGAATCACCAAACCAACAGAGAGAGACCAGATAGTACCTGTGCCCTTCCACTAGGGTGCTATGGATGCTAGCTGAAATGATGCTCCTCCAAACCAGTTAGAACTAGATGGTTAGGGCCATCAAGTAGATCAAATCTGTCATTTTACAAGCCAAGAAGCTAATGCTTGTTAAAATGCCACACTTGACTATTTTGAGATGTCGATATGGTTAAATACGGACTCAAAATTTGACATGTAAGTACCCACGCTGCCCCAACGAAGATCTATTGAGGTGCAAAACCAATTTGTCTGTGTTGGATGCGTTTTACGGGATATCTCCATCTGTATATATCCTTTTCTCGGCTAAGAGGAAATCCTTCAAGGTTGTGTTTTTGGTTTTGCTTGTGAAAAAGAATGAGAGCTGGTGGAAGAAAAATAATGTTAAGAAGGAAGGGAAACAGAAGGAAAGGAGGAAGTCACTGATTAGGATTTTCTCCCCGACTTTCCCTGCTCCCTACGTGCCCACCATGGATTTTATTTCCACCCCTTACACCCTTTTTCCCACGGCCCAGCACACCAGCCGATTGAGGTTCTAGATTTTGAAAACTCTTGCGTGACTGCACGAGCTGGGCATGCTCAAAAGCCTATGACTGGATTTTTTTTTTTTTAGCCCCAACTTTGGCAGCTCTCCCACCTTCTCCCCGAAGGGGCAGGTCCACGCAGATCTCGGTGTGAGTAAAAGGGGAAAAATGAGCGCAGTCCGGAGACACGCGAGAGGTAACCGGCCCAGGCAGTTCCGAGCCCCGAGGGCGCTCGGCCCGGCGCGCACACGGGGGCGCACGGACCTCGGCGGCTGCACTGCGCCTGGGCGCGGGGAGGAGCGGCGGGAACGCGCGCCCTTCGGAGGGGGCGCTGTCCGAGGCATGTGCGCGGGAGCGCGCTCTGGGAGTGGTC